GAAACAGTACTATATAACATTTTAGACACATTCTAGACAGTTTATCAGCTAAAAAAAGTTAATTTTGGGGTAAGTTACTCTTTAAGTATTTGCAAAAACTTTTTGTTTTTGGCTAAGGAGCCATATGTAACTATTCAGCTTATTTTCTGATATTTTCATGCGTTAATGTTGTAATATTTAATTATAAAACTCACGGAGGAGAGCTGAGGAAGGAGCGATCACTCAGCCAGCCGAAGAGAGGATCGTTCAGACTGTTCCAGATGAGAAACACAGTCTGTGAAGCAGCAAACAAAACAATTACCAGTAGTCATCGTTGTGACGGCTCGTTAATCCCCACACATAAACGTCATATGAGCTAAAACAGAGATGTAAGTGTGGATCAGCAGGGACAGGTTCTGGTTCTTCCACTCACCTCTCCCACCCAGAAGGAGACTTTATCGATCTTGTAGATGGACACGAACGTCTCCACGTAGTACAGCAGGAAGACGTTGTGGAGGATGGACGTAAACAGGGCCAACGAGCCGTACAGCAGAGCCGTGGAGAAGACACTTTGCCAGCAGCTCCAGACGCTCCGGTCCATTTCTGTCCTCTCAACACCGTCTTCTGCTCCAAGCTGCGATCATCTCCCGGCCCAGACGACCCACAGTTACCACCGCATGATACTCTGACAAAAATAATACAGAAATGTATTTAAATTATGTGCAACTCAAAAAATAAACACAMTCTTTGGGGATTTTGTAAAATCTTATGCATATTCCTAGATGGTAGCAGTACATAATACTGCCTAATAAGTACAGAGTGAGTACCAGGTACATATCAGACTTACAGAGTWGTGTACTTACTGATACATACCATCGACTTATGCACCTGCTAAGTACCCAGTATGTACCCTAAGTCCCTTATAAGTACTGGGTGTGTACTAGGTATGTTTTCAGTACATACCATATAAGTACACAGTACATACCATGTAAGTACCCAGTACATACCATGTAAGTACAATGCAAGTACCCAGTACATAKCATGTAAGTATAATGCAAGTACCCAGTACATTCCATGTAAGTACAATGCAAGTACCCAGTACATTCCATGTAAGTACACCAAGTAAGTAACTGGTATATACTAGGCAAGTACCCAGTACTTACCATAGAACTACACCAAGCAAGTACCTAGTGCATACTAATATGTAAATATGCGGTGCATACTATTTAAGTACATCAAGCGAGTACCTAGTGCATACTATGCAAGTATGCAGTACATACRGTTTAATTACTGAAAGCAAGTACCTGGTCCATACCATGTAAATACACCAAGTAYCTAACTGGGTGTATACCATGTACATACTCAGTGAATACCATGCAAAGTACCTGGTAAATACCATTTAAGTATACCAAGTAAGTACCTGGTGTATACCATGTAAGTACACCAAATAAGTACCTTGCACATACCATGTCAGTACTCTTTACATACCATGTAACAACACCATGCAACTACTCAGTAGATACCATGTAAGTACCCCGTACGTTGTGCAGGGCTGATTTATGTAAAACTACTTTCCAAATTGAAAAAGTAGTTTTGAAAATACTACTACTACTACTACTACTAATAATAATAATAATAATAATAATAATTTTAAACTTCCTGTCTCCTCTCCACAGGTTTGAAGCAGACCTGACATATGAAGGAACAACTGATTAAAGTTAGCTGAACTATGGGTCATCTGTCTTCTCAATCCACACCCAGATGAGTTTTTATMTTTATAAGCACTCTTTCTGCCACCATAAAACCTGCCCCACTTCTTTACAGAAAAAGAACAAAAAGTCACACGATTGTGTTTTTAAACAAAGCATTTGCTGCACCTTAATGGTCCAGGGTGTCGTATTCAACACTACTTTACAACTAAAAGAAAAAAACGATTCTCTTACCAAACATTCGTATATCACAAGCTCAAACCTGCCCAGAAATGTACAAATCCAATCACTTCTTCAGCAGAAAAAAGTTCTAACAGCTCAAAAATACCTGTTTTGTGGCAAAGACACAYGTCCTGTATGAAAGGTGTGTCCAGACCAGGCTGAAAAACCGCAAAATTCACATTTTGATCATAGCAAGATAACAAAACGTAGCAAGAAGTAAAAATGGTTTTAGTTTTGTCAGATAGTTGTCCCATGAAGACCAAATCAGAGTGAGACATCTACAAACAAGCCATGTTTTTTTCCCCACCTGTAGCTGGGAACAAAGATGCACCTGTTGTGTTTACTTTAAAGACTTAAAGATAAAGTGAGAAAGTAAAATGACTGTAAAAGATTAAATGAACAKAYCAAACTTTTATAAGCCTTTTATTGATTTCTTATGCAACAATAAGGTAAGCCTGACGGTCTTAAATTAGTGGTTACAAAAATAATAAGGTAAGCTAATAATAGTGGAACAAAAACAAGAACATGGGGCGTTTTTAAATGTCCCTGCCTGCGTCGATATTTAKAGAAGTTGTGAGAAGAGGAAATCCGCTTATTTGCTAACGGGTCACTTGACTAAAACTTTCTAATAGTCAAATATTACATCTAAAAAATACAGTTCAAAAGCGAGGTTAGGTTTTAACACAACATAATGAATTTAAAATCCGTCTTGTTTGACTTTCAGTTTGGTAAATTTCCATCAAATGGTTAGCAGTTTAGTAAATGTTAGCATTAGCTTACTACTAGCTAGCATGTTACAGTCACCTGGTGGTCGCTTATCAGCCGGGTATACTAACTCACGTACTACACTCACGCGTTACTGAAAAGGGACCAGATACGTGTTGCGTACCGACAGAAAAAGCCGCTGCTTGGACTGGATCCGCCTCGTTTGTGTCTCCGTAAAGCAGCCGAGTCTTTCTTCAGTAGTAGACGGACCACGTCATTGTCCACACTCGAGTGGATAACGGACACGGGTTGACGCACGGCACGAAGCGGATTGAAGTGAAAGGGGTTTCCCACAGCGTTCGAGAGAAACAGGCAGCGAGCTGCAGCGCCACCCGCTGGCAACATAAAGAATTACACAGAAATTCAAGCAGAAATTCAAGCAGAAATTCAAGCACGGAACAAGTAGACGGAAAAAAGAGATTATAATAATGTGCGAAATTTGAATCTACCACCAATTTCCTTATTTATTTAACATTATTTACCTTAAATTAGTTGTTTTAATATTTAAGTAATAGGACTTCTTTAAAATTGTACAGAAATGTTTTAAAAAGGTTAAAAAAGGCTAAAGCGTCCCATGGGAATTTCATTATGTGGTTCAATTAGATATTCTAACACAGTGGTTCCCAAACTTTTTTTCTTCTGACCCAAAAAATATTCATGGCAAAAACTTGTGACCCCAAATATTACTAGTCTGAGTACACGAACTTTGTTAATAACCCTAAAAACACAGGCTTTTTGACAATCTAAACGGCTTGTACAGAAATATAAATACTTATTTACACTTTTTTGTGTTTTTGTAATAGTTATAGGGAAAATATTACATCAGRAATTATTTTATTACCCTTTAAATTGATTTCTGGAGATTATCCAAGGTGCTTCATGACCCATAATTGGGTCCCAAGCCCAACTATGGAACCAAAGTGCAGTGGTTCCAAAACTTTTCAGCTTTTGACCCACAAAATAACAGTAGCAGAGACCTGTGCCCCCAACTGTTTTTGGATGATAAACATTTGTATCAGGTCAACTAAACATGGGCATWGTAACAATATTTTTATACTACATTTTTCCATTTTAAATATACTAACCTCACTCCTTTGTAACAACTAAGGCAAAAATGTAATTGATTCCTAAAATCTTTTCAGGACCCCACCTTGATGTTTCGGGACCCCACTTTGGGTCCCGACCCCAACTTTGGGAAACACTGTTCTAACAGACACAAACATAGTCAGAAAGCAAAATTATCAAAAGTCTTATATTTATTTTTTGTTTTTCTATTTAGTTTCCAGCAGGGGTCAGCAATAGATCAGACAACATTCAGGTCAGGTTTAAAACACATGTAAACAAAACATGGACCAAATGTGGAGGAGCAGATTTATGTGCAATTAATAGCTTATTTTACACATTTATAGTCAATAAAAATACAGTTTTTAAAAATCTCTTTAGCTTTAAATCTCAATAAGACTATGGGTGAGAGCAATGTTTAAACATATTAATTTAGATTAATCAAAAAGCTGCAAAATGGTGCTTAAATAAACAAAAAGTGGGTGTTTATTGGTGAAAAAGCTGAAATGAGTGTGCGCGCGCGTGTGTTCAAGCGTTGTGCGTGTCTGTGTGTGTGTCTGTGTGTGTGTTTGCGTTAGAGAGATGGGGACAGAGAGATGTGGTCCTGTTCATTTGGTGACTGCAGCAACAGCAGCAGCAGCAGAACAGTTCGGTGTTCTGCAGAACCGAGGAGGACTCGCGGGGTTTCGGTCCAGAAGGCAGGAACAAGGACACAGAGAAGACGGGTGAGTCGGTCCAAACTGGTCCAAAACCGGTTCTTTTTAGCTGCTTTTAATCCTGTCGCGAAGGTGACTGAAAGACTGTAGCTATTTTTATTTTTATTTTTGTGTGTGTGTGTTTCTGTCGGAGCTGCATCTCAGGTGCGCAAAGGTGCAACATTAGGTCCTACCTGAAGTCGTCTTAACGAAAGTTAGAATTAACTCTTGCTGTTATAAGTATTATAAAGAACTGTGGTCCGTTTCGAGCAGTTCTGCTAAGTTGAGTCAAAGAAAAAGAGGTGAACAAACTCATTAAAGAGCTATTTATCAAGAATCAGTCCCATTTCTTTGAGTTAAACTCACATAAACATAGTATTTTTACTATTTATTCACAAACAATAATGACTTTACCACAACAATAACATATTCATAGCTTATATAATATATAATTTTACGGTTTTATTTATATGTTCTTGAATTGCAAATAAAAAGTGTATTCTGCATGTTATACGATTTGGACTTATGCCTCATTAGGACAAAATTGCGTAAAATATTGGAAAAGAATCATCATTAATACAATGATAATTTTATTAATGTTTATCAGTTTATGTCCTTCTTTTTATCTTTATATTCTAAATATTTCTACGCTTCTTTATACCCTCTAGTCRGACACCATAAGGGAACCACTAATTTCGTTGTACTTGTTAATGATGATAAATATTTTCTATTCTATCTACAATAATTTATGATTAAATCACTGTTGTTATGATTAACAGACTTTACATGGGATGAATGTGATTAAAAGATAAACAAAAGCACATCACCCGCCATCTTTCCGAGTCTGAAGATAATCTTACGCTGAAAAAATGACATTAGCTGAAGTCATTTTGGTCAAACTTTAAAAAATAATCCTCCTGCTCATCGTGAGATCTGCACCCTGAGAGGATGATTCTCAGCTACCACCACACCAAATTTCATCTGATTATCTGTAAAATTGGCTGAGCTTTTGCCATTTTTGTGTTTCTTTAAGCTGTGGCGGCCTATTTGAAAGACTCTTGAAAGATTATAGTTGTTAATGGTTCGTTTTAATAAAACTCATCCTGTGGTTCATGAGATGATTGTAACTTATGATTAAAACCGTAGGCAGTCACAAATAATCTGAGTGACTGCACTTTGATTTGGAGGGTGTTTAACCTTTTTGCGGAAGGACAAAAAGTACATAAAGTGGTATAAGGTCAGAGATTTGTCATCGCTTTGTGCTCTAAACTGATTTCAGCCGAAGCCTTCAGAAAGCATTTGCACCTAGAGATAATGAGAGATATAAAAAATCACATTTTCTGTTTCAGTCGGCTGTGACATCAGTTGACTTTTACGATTAATCATCTAAGTGGGAAAATTGAAATGAAAGCTAGAGAAAACGCAGTGTGAACGCTGAATGAGTCTGCAGAAATCTGCTGAAAAGCAGCTGTTAAAGTTAAAATGAGCACAGCTAAAAGCTAAAAGTAGGAAAATGAACCTGCAGCCTGAAGATTACAAAATCATGACTGCTACAAGACCTTTGAGCTWCCTCCCAAAACATTAGCTAAAAGTAGCAAAATGGTATCTAAATGCTAAAGTAGCAAAGGGCAATAGCTAAAATTTAAAAGTAGTGGCAATGTAGGTAAAAGCTAAAAGTCACTAAATGATGGTTTAGATTAGAAAAACATAAATAAAAAGGAAGGGGTGCAGCTACCCAAAAACTTAGTTTTTTACCTGCCAATCTACAAACAACAAAGATTAGCTTTGCAAACGCCAAACCACTAAACTTTTAAGAAAATTAGCTGAAGCTAATGCTAACTAATAACCACTAAKTCAAGATCTGTCATGTGATATCCYCATCATAGCCTTGGCTAAAACATTTTTATGTTCACCGAACACAGCAGATTTAAAGTTYCAGAACTAAATTTAGTGGAATCTAATTGGTCTGCTAATGGTTTCCACTTATAATTTAAATGAAGAACTAGCTTCCCTAGCTGTTAGTGTATTAAGAGAGCTGTGCCGAGAAGGGGTTCTCTGTAGGCGTTTCTCAAGCTTAAACACTGATTGGCTAGTTGTATTTGCTCTGTTTTTCAAAAAGCTAGGTACTTCTCTTTCGTTTTTCTTTCACTTTTGACTTTAACTACTTTCATGTTAATTTTAGCAGCCAAAACTGATTTTTTTTTAAATTGCAATGTATCATTAAAACAAACATTTAGTTCTCCCTATTTCTAATATCCATCCATCCATCCATCCATCCATCCATCCATCCATCCATCCATCCATCCATCCATCCATCCATCCATCCATCC